CAAAAGAAGCCAGACACATGTGAGTTCATACTGTATGATCCCATTTATGTGAAATTCAACAAAAGGCAAAACCAGTCAATGGGGATAAGTCAGAAAAATGTTTACCTTTCAGGGAAGGATATTGACTGGGAAAAGGTGCAAGGGAATCTTCTGGGGTGCTGAAAATTCTATATTTTCATCTGGTTGTGGTTCATAAATGTGTACAGAGGCAGAAATTCATCGAGATACACTTCAGATTAGTGTACTTTGTGCACTTCGCGCATTTTACTGTGTATATGTTTGTATTAGTTTCCTATTGCTCCATAACAAATTGTCACAAGCTTGGTGGCATAAAACTATTTATTCTCTTAATAGTTCTGGAAGCCAGAACTCACAAATCAGTTTCACCAAGCGAAAGTCAGGTATCAACAGGACAACATTCCTCCCAGAAGCCCTAGGGGAGAGTCCCTTTCCTTGCCTTTTCCAGCTTCTAGAATTGCAATCCTTGGCTCATGCCCCCCTCCTCCATCCTCAAAGCCAGCTGTGTAGCATGTTCACATCTCTCTCTGCTTCTGCACGTCGCCCTCTCCTCTGGTCAGATCTCCCTCTGCCTCGCTCTTGCAAGGACACTTGAGATTACATTTAGGGCCTACCTAGATGATCCAGGATGATTAATCTCCCCCCCAAGATCCTTAATCACATCTTCAAAGCCGTTTTTTGCCATATAAGGTAGCATTTACTGGATTTATGTAGCACGAGTGATAGAAACATGATTTAGATGGCTAAACTGCTGCTAACTATATGATGGACCAAATTTGGTACCTGATCTTTTAGTGCTGACTGATAACAGTCAACCTGTGCTTGTCTTCCTCTTTTTTTCTTTTTTTTTTTTTTTTACATGATTGTGACTCTGATTCTCCGACATAATAAACTCCAGTTTGTGTTCTGTGTTATTTAAGTTCCACAACTAGTTGGATGAATAATACAAAGTTAATTGTAATTGGAAATCCTGACTCTAGTTTGGTGATTAGGACTTGGATATCTTTGGGAGCCATATTTAGCCAGCCACAATGTTATACCTCAGTAAAATAGTAAAATTAAATAATTCTCACAGTTGGTTATGATGAGCAGCCAAAGAAGAGAATCATTGTAATAATTATTTGACTTGAATTAAACTTGTATTTTTAAAATCCCTTCTAGGTAAGAGTTAATGAGCACAAGTTGAGGATATTCTTTTTTTTTTTTTTTTAACTGAGCCATCCTGCCACCTGTTGGCAGCTCAATGGCAGGTCAGCTCGGGCTGGGAATTGAACCGCTGTTCTCAGAGCTCAAACTCTTGAACGAGCCACTCGGCTGGCCCAAGGATATTCTTTACTACTGTTGGAACAATTTTTGAAGAGAGGCTTAAAAATCTTGTTTCTTAAAGATCTTTTAAGAATAGGAAAAGCCTTACCTCATTTGGAAGGGATAAGGCATAGCTGACTGAATCTCTAAAATCACCTTGTCCCATGGAATAGAGAAGAGGCTCTGCTTTCAAACTAGTTTTGAATGTCAACTCTGCAACTTAATAGCTTTGTCACTTGGGACTTTAACCTGGCAAGTTTTTAATTAGCAGTTTTACCTGGCACATAGTAGGTGTTCAATAGCTGCGAAAGTCTCTACATTTTTAAGAATCTGAGAATAACAATGTTACCTACCTCATAGGTTTATTGTGAAAATAAGATATGGCATGTTATGCTTTTAGGAGAAATTCTTGCACATAGTAAGTGTCCAATATGGTAATATTTATGGATTTTTTTTGTACTATGCATATCTCGTTAAGTAAGTTGTATATAATGCAAGGGTCTCTGCTTAATTTTCTGCGTCGTTATTCCTGGGAGATGAATAGACAGTGTTGTGGGCCCTTAATTTTGTTTTACTCCAGGTTGCCACATTCATCCTGCAGAAGATCCTCTTAGATGACACCGGTTTGGCTTATATATGTCAAACATATGAGCGTTTCTCCCATGTCGCCATGATCTTGGTGAGTTCTTTATCTACCCCCTTTGCAACTACTTCTGACCGCACATCTTAGTCCCTTTGCAAATGACACTGAGCAACTTCAGTCTTCCACCTAGAAATAACAGCCTGGAATCGTGTGTAACAAGTCTTGAAATATCTGATTTCTGATGTCAACCAGGATTATTTTGTGTTTTGTTGTTTTTTTCCTACTGCACCCCATTTTGGGGGGAAACAGGGTAAGATGGTCCTGCAGCTATCCAAAGAGCCTTCCGCCCGTCTGCTGAAACATGTAGTGAGATGTTACCTTCGACTCTCAGATAATCCCAGGTAAACATTTACAGTATTTATAGGACTTTGGGGAAATACTCTGGTGAAAATGGTTGCTCTCTCTCATGACATAGCTTCTGTATCTTTAGGACAGGGAAGGGATATAACTATATTTAGTTTGTCTGAGACAGAACTTGATTAGTTCCTTTTAAAATATGAAGTGCTGAATTTAAAAATTCCATCAGTTTTATTTCCCCACTGTAACTCTACCCTACTCTAAAATTCCAGGGAGTCCAGACAGTTTCCAAAGAACCTTATGTATGATACATTACTCCTGTGGTTTGAGCTTTCTATTGCTATTCCAGGAGGTCAGAAACCAAAAGGTATTTTCAAAGATCTCTTAAGAAAGGAACAGAGCCCAGAGGGCTCTTGATATATTTTCAATTCTCTCCTTGATTCCTGTAAAGTCCTTGAGCTAATTATTTTATCTCCCTACGTTCAGAATCTTTCTGCCAGAAATCATACATTGAAGGTATAATGCATTTAGAAATGTTTGACTTTTTTCTTTGTAAATCCATAATTCATGCTGAAAGCCACTTTCTCAGATTCTGCTAAACCACATAATGGGGCAATTTCTGTGTTCCTAGGAATGGGGATAATGTGAACTTAGCCCCCTGCTACTGAGGTTATTCAAGCCCTAGCTATTTCTTCAACTATTTTGTCCTATTCTTCAGTGGTTCCAGTTTTCACCAAAGTTTGAAAATATGGTTATTTGAGATTCTACTTGTACAAAGAAACTAGTCTGAGTACAAAAGCTGTAACTTTGTTTAAAACTGCCTTAGAGTTTGCATTTACCTCTTGTGAGGTTTTCAGACTTGACTTTCTGCTGGTCACCTGTTAAAGAAAATGAAACATGTAAGAGTTCATCTGATAACATTGTTACCATAGTTTTGTTTTTACTGCTCATCTCTTATTAAGGGTTTTAACTATAAAACTAAAGCAGTTTTTGGAAAGACACAAATTTATATTAGTTCAGAATTAAAATTCATCTATCGTACTATAAGTCAGGTCATATTCCCTGTTAATGTACTGATTTTGGAAATGTTTTATTTACTATAACCAAATATTTCTAACATGAGTATATTGGCAGTACTTACTGCAATAAATCAGAAAGCAGTTTGAATTGAAGTAAACTATTGTACCATTTATTCCATTCTCTTGTCATGGAATTCTGTATTGGGCATAATTCTGAAAATGTGTGCAGACTACAGATCCTGGAGATCCTGAGCCTATGCCTCATGTAAGCTTTATAGAATTTTAATGGCTTCTTAAAGTAACTTGACAGAGCCATAGATTCCCAGGATTCTGTATATTTATGTCTAAGAAAGGGGCTCTTCCCTGTCCCCCAAATGTGGGTTTATTTGTTGGTCTCCCTGGTTGGTTTGTTTGTTTCTGATGTAGGGCACGTGAAGCGCTCAGGCAGTGCCTCCCTGACCAGCTGAAGGACAGCACCTTTGCCCAGGTGCTAAAAGATGACACCACCACAAAACGTTGGCTTACACAACTGCAGAAGAACCTGCAAGAGGGCCAGGTCACCGATCCCCGGGGCATCCCCCTGCCCCCTCAGTGATCCAACCCCATCCCTTCCCACTACTCACACAAGTTGGGGTAGGGAGGGGGAACCTTCGAGGAAAACAGCTCAGGTTTTATCGCCGACCAAGAATAGACAACCTCAATGCTGAACTGCACTGGAGAAAAGGGGCAAGGTACTCCTGCTGAGGTGTATGAGATGCCCTCTCAGGCTGCCTTGGGGACCTGGGTTCCCTCTGCTACTCCCAGGAAATGGGCTCCTGACACAGCAGTCTGCCACCACAGCCCCAGGAGGGTGTCAACACCAGCAAATGCTGTATTTGCAGCATGCCCAAGATGACCCTTCTCCCCACTTGTACCTGGCCACTGGCCAGAAGAGGAGACCGTGGTGATAGCAGCAGCACTCTAGGCTTGGTGAACGTCTGGGACCAAGCCATGTGGCGTTTTCTTAATTTTGCCTTCCTGGAAGACTCAAGATGTGCTTCTTCATTCTCTCTCTCAGTATTTGTTTACTTTGGTTTTTTGTTTTTAATCTCGGAGAGAGGTGTGTTTAGTGGACACAAGCTGTAATATTCAGCAAAACTTTGTCAACTGGCACTGTTTACAAGTCTGTTGTTAGCTGCATAAGCTCAATAAAAAGTTGGTCTGGGCATTACATCCCCTCTAGTAGGCCAATAGCTGCATGAACTATTGGGAGGAATGGGAGGCAGGGGAAAGGTATAAAGCCAAAGGACAGCAGGAACCCACCTCCAATTTTCCTTCCCTTTCCCAGTCTTCTACCCACAGTTCTGGATGCCACGAGGACAGCCTTGTTTTTGGCTTTAGCTGCTAGCTTTTCCAAATCTCAGTGCTTTCCCCTTTTTCACTTTCCTCCTGTTAAAATAGACGTCTTAATTCATCAGGCTGTCTTAAAAGGGTTTTATATTGGGGAGGAGAGATGGCGGTGGATCTCACCTTCAATTCAAGTCCTCAAAGATATTTTCTGGATGACTTTTAAAAGGGAGGGATTAAGATGAAAGGCTACTTGATCCCATCCTTTGCATTAGTATGAATTGCTGCATTTCCATCTGTCTTCATGATTGTACTTGAAGCTGTTTTAGCTAAATTGAGTTAATTTTATTCAGATTTAAGCTAGAGGGCTGAGTCCACTATCTTAGTCCACTCAGTTTTTGTTTTTGTTTTGTTTTGTTTTTGACACATTCCCTTTTGGTCTATGGGAATTACAGAGTTGCCACTTGTTCATATTGTGTTCAAGAATCCCCCTTCCTTCTCTGAAGCTTTAGATGACTCTATTCACAACCCAATGTAAAATGGCTTTGCTTTCTCCCAATCCTTGCCTATACCAACACCTGCTCTCTCTCTTATCCCCATCTCCAATCGAAGAAGGGATTGTTAGTCCAACTCTAGAGAGAGAGACCAAGTATTTTCTGTCCATATCTCATACAATTGGAGGTGTCTCTGAACAAGTTTGGGGAGGATCTGTAAGGGGCAAGCTCAGAAACCTTTGCAGAGGCAGTTTTGCCAATACAAGGGCTCTTACAAGCCGACTTTCATAAAGGGAGCCGGCCTCGTTAGTTGGCTTCTGTCTCATTGGAGCCAAGACAGTAGTAATTAAATAGCCTCGATGTAGGAAGGGTAGGATAAGCACTTATTCCCCTGCCTTCCAAAATGAAGAGGAGAGCCAGGCCAGCTCTCAGTAATCTCAAGCCTGAAGAGAAGAGGTATTGGAGAAACAGCATGGACTGGATAGACGTCTTGACTCCCTTTAGCCCACAGTTTGTATCTGGAGAGTCCAGCTAGTAACCCTGATTTTTGCCACCCGCCTTCCTGCTGAGCCAAAGTTTTCTCATTCCCCCTCCACTGGGGAAGCAGCTGAGGCCCAGGACCTTGCTCCCTGGGAAGTTCTTTTTCTCCATCTTCTGGTGCATTGGCCATGTTACTGTGCCAATAGTGTCTCAGTTCTTGCTCCATCTACTCAGCTGGGGGAGGGATGGAAATGGGAGTTGTTCTTGTAGTTGACCCTGACATCATGTGTGCATAAAGAGACTCCCCCCTCATTTTGTGTTTTCCATCCCTCTCACTCCCTCAACAGAATTGAAATAAAACATGCTTCTGTTTTTATAAAAATAACTTTTCCTTTAGACTGGAGATTTTATTTGTCACTATAGAGATATCTAGGCACTTTGGTCAGGTGATCCCCGTCACCCCTGCCTCTGTTCTCTATCCACCTGCACAACAAACACCCTACCCTGCCAAGAGGGCAGTGATGGTTCCTTTGTGGATAGGTCCTTTGGGAGAATCTTGCTGATTATAAAAGCTGTTTGGGAGACTGAGACGGTGCCCTCTATCTGATAAAGTCTCTTGCTGGAATAGAACCTCACTCCTGGCAGTAGTGGCCAGAGCTTAGTACTAGTGTGGGAGAGACTTCTATAAGTAAAGAGGTAACACTTGAAACATTTTATCACAGACTTTAATATTAATTTCCTTCTAAGATTCGAGACTTAGAGCACATCTCCAGAGTTGCTTCCATTCCTGTTCCTGGCTCTCAGTGGGATAGAACCAACCTCTGCTTCCAGCTTCTTTCTTCCAAGACTTGAGAGGGCCTCTGACTGTTTCAGTGGTGGAACAGGGCAAGGACAGGCAGTAGGAGCCTTCAGAGCATGCCTTCCTTAATATCCATATATGTGAGTCCCTTGCTCACTATTCCTGCTGCTCAGTGGCTGGGAAAGGGGGTTAATAGAAAGCCACTGCTATCAAAAGCCCAAGAAGGACCTCTGGAATAGGAAATCGCACAATGGAATGAGATTTTTTTCCTGAATATTGTAGAATTTAATTTTAAAAAATATTTTAGTACATTTATTTCAGAAGCAGATATAGCATAAGTTGAACAACACACCTAGCTTAATTGACATATAGAACACTGTCCTCTAAACCAATAGTATACATACTCCTTTTGATTACACTGGAAGCATTTTACCAAAATTGATCATAGCTGCACCATCAAGTGAGCCTCAAAAAATTTAAAAAAAAAAAAGATATTCTCTGAACCAAACACATGGGATTAAGCTAGCGGAAAAAAATGGAAAGTCTCTCTCTAGCGATTTACAAAACAGGCAGTACAATTCTAAATAACCCCTGGATTACAGAAGAATTACAAAGGAAATTAGATAATTTTAATTGCATGATAATGAAGATATGCCATATCAAAACCTGTGGTGTACAGGTAAAGTAGTACTTAAAAGAGATACATTACCTTAAATTCACACATTACAAAAGAAAGGCTGAAGTAAACGATCTAAGTTTTCATGTCAAGAAACTGGAAAAGAAAAGCAAATACAAAAAATGGAAGAATTTTAAAAAGCATATCAGTGAATTAAAAAACAAATGTACAATAAAGAAAATCAAAGCCAAAAATCATTCCCTTGAAAACATCAATAAAATTGATAAACCCTTAGTAAACTGATCAGAAGAAAGAAAAAAAAACGAACATACGTCAACATGTTAGAAATGGAAAAAGGGATATCACTTATAGTTTACAGTCACCAATCTCATAACCTGTTACAGAGACTAGAAAAAGGGAACATCCAATTCACTCTTAAAGCAGTGTAACCCAGCCACCAAAACCCACCAAGGATATCACAAGAAAAGAAAACCAGGGGCCAAACTCCAATGAATACAGACATAAAATTCCCAAAATAAGCAAATAAAATCCAGCAATATAAAAAAATGAATGTATTGGCCTGGCCAAGTGGCTCGTTGGTTAAGAGCTGGCTTGGAACACCAGAGGGCCCCATTTCGGATCCCACATATGAGGGCCAGTGACACTGCCCTCCACAGCTAAGATAGTGAACAACAGCTCAACCTGGAGCTGGACTACCGTGAGTCGCCGGCGACGGCATAGGCTGCAGCCCCTGTGGCAGTGGGTTGCCATGGGCTACCATGTGTAGCCAGCAGCCAGTGTGAGCGGCCCTCAAGCCACCGTGAGCGGCCGTCCAGAAGCCGGTGACTTATCTGCCTCGGCCGGGAAGAGTGCAATGATGGTGCCAACTTGGGCCAGTGAAGCAACGTCCTCCACAACTAGACTGAAGAACAAAAAGACAGCAACTTGTCTGTTCCCCCCCCCTAATTCCCCAAGAAAAATCTTTTAAAAATAATAATAAATTAAATAAATAAATAAAATTTGTTTGGAAATGCAGAGTGCCAAAATAGCCAAGGCAATCTTGAGTAAAAACAAAGTTGGAGTCCTCCCATTCCCAGACTAGTCTTACAGAGAGCACACACTTGTATTTTGTTGTATGACCTTTTCTGAAATGTCTCTTATGGAATATTATAGTGTTGGTATTTTTTATTTTAACTTCTATCATATTATTGTTGGGTTCATTTTATACCTCCTTATTCTCCCTTCCCCTTGGTTTTTTGGGTTTTCTATAATTTTTTTGGAATGGAGGAATGACTATATAGTTTCTGGTCTTCTGAAGTTATACATTCTGGTTTTTAATTCTTCAGGTAGCCTCATTCATGAGTTTTAAAATGAAATTTAATATTTTATGTTGCCTATTTGACCACCAAGAAGATTGGCTTTACTCCAGAAGTGTGAGGTTTGGCTGGATGGGTTGGGGAACTGGTCTCTGACTCCCTAGCCTGAATGTTGCAAAAAGAAAAATGTTTAGGGCATCTTCCCTGTGTCAGGAGGATGGTCTAGGCTTGCCTAGGTGGCAGCGTGAGAGTATAGTGTTTATGTCTTCCTCTTTGCCAGCTGTACTTTCATTTCAATTTGGGGCTTCTAGACCTTTCCTGGGCATGGTTCCCAGAAAGTCCCTCTACTGTTGCCCTGATCAGGTTTCTGGATCTGTTAATAATAGACAACAGTGGGGGAAGGGCCAGGATCATTATGGAAATAGGAACAACCAAACCAGATGGACAGTTCCTATGCCTGGAGCCCTGTCTCTCTGCTCCCTTCCTGATCTAAACAGCGTTTTGCAGGGGGCATGTTTTCTAAGCCACTCCTGGGAGCTATTCTAACCTGTGAAGGTTTCCAACTACCTGTCCCCAAAATCAGAACACATGATCTGGGAGCAGTGGTTTATGAGGACACTGAAACAGAACATTTGAAATCTGGACTCTCCCAGAAATTCCAGAATGAGTGATAACACTCCTCACAAAACACCCAGAAGGAAGGAGGTTGGGCAGCATTTAGGTGAAGCAAATAGTGCAAACCAGAAAGAGGCAAACCATATATGATCCTGGAGTGCTGAAGAGTGGGGAATGTGAAGAGTAAGCATGGAAAAATAAGGACATGATGATGCTGGGGAGGCAGAAACGGGAGAGCGAGACAGGCATGTGAGATACAGCCTCTATTAAGTAAAATCTGAAATCACAGTTTAAATGTCGATACCCCCCTAATCTTGCTGTTCCCCATGAATGGCCTCCCTCTTCTGCCTCCCCTCTTCCTTTATCAAAACCTGCTTTCAGTAGAGTATGGTAAACTCAACCTAGGTATAAATTGTGAAAACGCAGTAAGGCTTCAGAAATTCCCAGTTGCAAAATTTTGAAACCCTCTTATTGTAAAATATTACACAGATATAGAAAACTACATCAATAAAATGTATAGCTTAGTAAGTTATTATGAAGTGGAGATGTTTGTTAGCACCAAGTAGAACTAGGACTTGGCCGGCTATTTCAGAAACCAGCTCTGGGTCCTATCCCATCACAGCTCCTACCTCCCCCCCAAGGTAACCACTATCCTGACATTTATGGTAATCACTTAGGAGGATTTTATTTTAATGGGACTAAAGTTTTAGCTATAAATAGTCACTAATGGTAGACTCTTAGGCAGTTGAGGGGTGTTTGGGGGATTCATGTGAGGCAGCCAGATCTCAGCACACTTAAAATCACATTATTTCCAGTGATGAAGACGCCTCACTGGAAAAAGGATCCCACTGAAGTCCAACTACAGAGCTGTGCCCTATGCCCTCAGCTGCCTTGTTGTCTCCCACTGGTTCAGAAAGAGCCGTCCCCTGCAGTCTTTCCAAAGCAGAGCAGAAGTAGGTCCCAGCGCACACTGCCTGGGAGGGTGCAAGGGACTGGCTGTCTCTGCTGCTGCAATGTGAGTCCAGGACGTTCCTAAACTCCCCTGGGCCTCAGTTTCTCACTGTGAAGTATGGGGCCATAATAAAGCCCGTTACAGTCCCCTATCACTCTCCTAACTTGTTCCCCTTTCCTCAATCTTGGTTTCTGTTTCAGCTGCCTCTTCACTCACCCTGCCAGCAGCGTGTTACCTACCTTTTCCAGCTGGGTGTCTTTCCAGGCCGGTGCTCTTCTTTTTGCCCTGGATGCCTACACACCAGGAGTCTTGCTTCTCCACACACACCTTTATAAACGCGTGTACGTCCTTGCACGTGGGAGGTGCTGAACAGATGCTCACAGAGAATAAATGAGTATAAAGGAAGGGCAAACGAATTCCTGTACACATTTCTTCAATATTTAGTGAGTGCTTCATATGTACAGAGATACTAACCTGTCCCTCTACACTCTACGATCATACCTCTCCTCCCTCCTCATCTTTCCTCCTTTTCCATCCTGTTTCTTGTTTCCTTTCCCTGTGCCACAGAGCTAGACTGAGTGCCCTGTAAGATAGGATGCAGAGACTCAGAAGCAGGCCGGCTGGTGGAAACAGACACTGTGGACAGGCGCCAGATGAAATAAGGGCAAAGACAGCTATATAACAGCGAGAAACTGGGCAGAATGAAAAGCAGTGATTCATGGAGCCCTGCAACTCAGGCACTCCTTGGGTTTCACTTTGAGAGCTCTGGCGGGATTGGGGTCAGTGAGGGCTGGCATCAAGATGACAGGCAGCCAGGCTCCTCCTCCCTAGAGATGTGGTGCTCCAATCCCTCCCCTTAATTCTTTTCTACCTACTCCACCCCCACGACTCCCTCACTGACCAATGTCCTGGGCCTTTAAGAGTTAGATGGGCTGGACTGAGGAGAGAGCTCACACTTCTCCCCACCCTGCTCCTTCCTTCTGGCTGTAAGTGCCAGTCACAGCAGCAAACTGCAGTAGAAGAGGGGAGGAAGGCAGCGAGGACAAGAGCAAAGGAGCAAAGGAGGGGGCTGGCTTTCCTCATCCCACGGTGGAGAACATCGCAGAGCACAAGACACAGGACTGCTCTCCTGCCCAAGGTAAGTTCCTGGAGGCTCTGACCAGCCTCTGCTCCAAGCCCCGGCCTGCCTGAGTCCCTAGCTCTGCACTCCACGTTTATCCACCCTGATTAAATTGCACCCTGGATTCCTTTGCCAGAACAGGTCTACAAGGCTCCGACCTGATTCCCTCCAGCTTATCCTCTTTGACTTACAGTTTTCCTCCTGGCTGTGTCAGTCACCTCTTTATATGGGACCTCTTAGCTACCCAGGGCTGTCACTCAGAGGTGAGCCCCATCCTAGTAAGGGGAAGAGAGAGAATTGGAGTAGTTATGCTTTAGCATAGATTCATTAACAGATTGTTGAGGATGATTAGCAAATGAGGGTTGGCCAAAATCCAGGGAGCATAGAAATCCCTGGTAATAAGGAACTATGAGACTTCCTTGGAAAGAACCAGGGTTTGTATTCTATACCTTGTTCTCCACCTCCTCAATAGGCCAGGGCAGTTTGTTGGCATGCCCAAGTGCTGTGCTGAGCACTTGCTTTTAGTCCTGACTCTGCCATTAACCAGCTATGTGACTTTGAACAGCAACTCCCTGATCTGTGATAAGAGGGAGTTTAGGGTTTTCCAGACTTGCCTGTGTATCCAGGGTGCTTCGTAAAAATAAATCTTCCTGAGCCCCATCCTTGGAAATTATGATCTGGTAGATTTTGGATGGGGCTAAGGAATCTCTGTTTTAGGACATCTCTGTTTTAGAACCTCTGGGTTAGATATGATAAAAAGAGTCTTCAAGCTCTAACATTCTGAGGGCTATGACCTATGACTGGAGCCATCATGTCCTCTTTGTATGAACCAGGTCAGGCATAATCCTGCTCCCAAGTAAGAGAGCAGACACAATAATTCCTCCCTTCCTGCTCCTCAGAGCACCTGAGACACCCTGAATTCCACTGTAACGACTTTGGCACTTTTGCCCCAATCCATCTCTAGGGGACAAACCACCTGGAAGTTAAGGACCAAGTCTTGCTCGGCAGCCCTGGCACCTCCCCACCTTATTTTGTGTCTGTTTTCTCATGTGTATTGTAGAGGAAATCATCTGTATTCTCAAGGATCTCTATATACACGTCCAGGAGTGAACAGGTATGACCCAGTCTCTCTTACTCAGGCTTCAGCCTCTGTCCCTGGCCTCTTGTTCCCACTCCCAAGTCCTTTGTGCCTTCTCACCTAACTGCACCTGCATCAGCTGTGACCATTCTTTCCATCCTACCTTCAGACACCAGAGGAAACACCAAAACCTAGAACTTCTGGGTTCTGTCACATTCTCTTTGCAGTTTGTTTAGTTGGTCTCCTAGGATACAGGGGAAAGCGAGGGTGAGCAGAGGGGATGTGCCACTGGACCACAGTGTCAAACTACAGGAGCTGAGAACCAGAAAAAAGAGAGAGAGCTATGGAGAGAAGGGATGAGAAGGATGAAAAGAGGAGAGCAAAGAGAGTCTGACAAGTGAGCAAATGGGGAGGCAGAGAAAGGATCAGGAGAGAGAATGGTTGGGGAGGAAGGAAAAGGAAGGGGTCAGGCAGAGAATGGGGAAAGGAAAAAAAGCGAGAAGAAAGAAAAGGAAGGCCATTTTGTGGTATATGGTAGGAATAGGAAATGGTGGAGGGGAAAGACAAAACATTGGTATCCCACATTGATTCTTAGCCCTGCTTTAACCTGCTTCCTAGAGAAAGCCCTTTCTAAGGGTAGAGTCTTGGTGAGATCTCTGAGCTGGTCACATGGAGACCTTGGTTCTAGTCCCTGCTTTGCCACTTAATACATTTGGTAACTCTGGCAGTTCAGCTAATCTTTCTAGCCCTCAGTCCCCTTTTCTGTAAAATGAAATCCAGCCCTACCATTCTGTGTCTCCTTGGCTTGAAATTGGCTTTCTTACGGCCACATATCACCTGGATACAGCTTTTAAATAGTCAGGAATGGGAACAGGATTTGAAGAGGATGCCAAGCCCTGGGGTTGGAAGAGTTTGACAAAAGAGGATAGAATAATTTTCTAAGTCTGGTCTGAGAGGAAGTAGGCTCCAAGATAGGGGTGTCCTGGCACTTGGTCTCTGTTCTCAGGCTCCCCATGTTTTAGGACATTGTTGTCCAGGTGTAATGGAAGGTAATTTTGTCTTCTCCCAAGGCCAAGGCCCCACACCATCCCAGAGTCCCTATGCCCCAGACATGAGAGCTTTAAGTTCAGCAAGGAGATAAGGTAGGATGTTGGCAAGGGGAATTAAACTTCAACCCCAAGCTGACCCCCTTGCCTTACCCCAGAGTGTGAGGTACCTTAAGTCTGAAACACTTAAGAGGGACCTGTTACTTTCTACTTCAGTCTTCACATAGCTTTGGCAAGCCTCAGATTCCAAACTGTGCATCTCCTCCCAGAAAGTAGAAATGCTTTTCTGTCTCCAAGGAAGCACTCTGGGGCCCTTCTTCCATGCAGAGTTTTCTCATCCAGTCTCCCATATTCAGCCTCAGCCAGCAAAACCTTTTGTTCTTTAAACTGTTGCAGGGTTCTTTCTCTTCTGAGAGCTGCCTTGAGTTGTCCTTCCCACTTAGGTACGGTACAGACTGATTCCCAATCTCCCCCTCTCCCTCTGGGTACCTGCACATTGCTACTCACTTAGAAAGCCTTCTCTAGGTCCTGCAGTCGAGGAAGCTGTATTTTCAGTGACCTCTACCTTCTTCCTAAAGACTTTGCCACCCCCAGATGATTTATAGGCTCTTCCCACTAAAGAGAGATGGGACCCTAATATGCTGTGTGACCTCAGACACGTCCCATCACGTTCCTACACTTCTGCTCTTTCATTTGTAAAATATCAGAGTTTGAGCTGTACGATGTTTTAATGGAGCACTAGCTGAATGACTGCTTCAGAGATTCTTTTAGTTTTTTAGATGGTCACCATTGTCAACGTTTTAAACTTATCAATGAAAAAAATAACATTTCTATTCATGTGTAGATCATTTGCTTATACAAAAGCATAGAGCTTTGTGTTTTCACAGGCACTGACAGTTTGAAAATGATTTGGTCAAGAGTTGAGTGTTTCTTACAGGGGCAGAGATAGAATCAAAGTGGCCACATATCAAATCTTCTAGTTCTTTTCAAGGGAAGATTGTTGTTACCTACTAGGACAACAAAAGCGTTCCTACATTAGCGTATATCTTAAAGAAGGTACTCTTTTTTTAGTCAGTAGAGAAAACTTGAAAATGCAGTTCTGAGACTTTGTGATTTATCTGGTCCATTAAAGCTGAGAATAGCTGTTATGGACAGGAGTGTAAAATATACTTTACCATGTAAAGGTAGAAGAAGATGACTTATTTAGCTAAGTATAGCACCAAGTGTTGTAGAAGAGGTGAAAGAAACGCTCTGCCCTAGCCCTTCAGGAGCTGGGGGACTGACATGACAGCATGGAGAGGGCTCCCAGAATAGGGAAGCTAGGATGATTCCACTTGGAGAAGAGCAGGCTAGAATGTAGGGAGATTCCAGGTTCCGAAAGGGCAGCCAGCAAGATGGTGGTGCTTAAAAATGAGAAGCGGACTGGGTGACATCAGATTACCTTGTGGATTACAGGGTATTGGGAAGGAGAGGGGTATTCGGCAGGAAGCCCTGGTTTAGCACTCTCTGGAGATGGCTATGGGAAACAGCAGAGGCTCTAGAATTTGATCTACTTGGCTTTCAATTCTGAATCCCTGTGTAATTTCAGACAGGTTTCTCAGCCTCTCTAAGCCTCATAATCACCAAATTCAAATAGAAGCAAAAATTGCTACAGGCTGTGTAGATGAAATGCCTGACCCATGATGGGCAGTCAAGAAACACTGGTTTCCTTTTCTTCAGTTGATCTATTCTAAGACCACCTAGCCTTTTGCTCCACCTTACTCCTTCAGGTGACTCTGGCTCCGGCTGGTGGAGCAGTGGGTGATGGCGTCCCTGCTGCAAGGCCGTGAGTACCCCTGCAGAAGAGAGCTTGGGTAGACAGCCCAGGGACAGGGAGGAGGCTGGCCCCGGGCTCAAGGGCTCCTCCTGGGCGCTCCACCCTCCCGGCTGGCTCTCCAGCCCCTGCTTCTCCTGGCCCAGGGCTGCCCGTCAATCAAGATGTGCTGCTCATGCAGAAAGGCACGCTGATGCGGAAGGTGAGGTCCAAAAGCTGGAAGAAGCTAAGATACTTCAGACTTCAGGAAGATGGCATGACAGTCTGGCATGCCCGGCAGGTTGGAGGCAGAGCCAAACCCAGCTGTGAGTTAAATGGGTAACTAGGGGTGGGCACATGGGTGGATAGGACCCTGAAGAGCCAGCAGCCTAAGAACAGGGTAGGGACCAGGGTCCTGTGATGTGCCCTTCTGCTGTCCCACTTGTATCTATGTCTGTGCCTATAAATTGGAAATTAGAATAGTACTTGCCTCTTAAGGATGTTATGAGGATTAAATTAGTTATTGCATGTAAAGGGCTTAGAAGAGTCCTAGCAGATTACAAGGCTCACTAAATCGTAGGTTATATCTTGTTCTTCTTATTACATTAAGAGCATCATCTCAGGCAGCAGACTGCTTGGATTAAAGCTCTGGCTCTGACACTTTCTAGCTGAGTGCCTTTGGACAAGTTATCTAAACTAAACTTTGGTTTCCTCATCTGTGAAATGGGGATTAAACAGTACCTGCTTAGCAGGTTACAGGGACTCAATATATTAATGTCTAAATCATGGGACCTGAAACCAGGATGCATTTAATAAATGTTAGCCATTATGGTGAATATTTTAAAATACCATAAATGCATCATAAGTGTGCATCCTATTGACTGTAAACACTTTATGATCTGTATAAAAATCAGATCACAGGACACATCTAAGAGAGTCTGCCTTAAAGACATAACCAAAGCTCACAATCCACACCACCCCCAGCTGAGGAAAGAGGGTGGAAGAATTTCTCTGACTCCCTCCTAAACATCTGGAAAGAGGAAGTCCTCAAACCTGGAATGGGAGAATTGAACATGGAATATCATGCTTTGGTGTAACGGGCTCTATCCTGCAAGTGTGTTTCCATTTGTCAGCCTCACCAGTCCTCTTGTGATCACCATGTACACTGGCCATGTAAGGGACCACCCCTTATTTAAGATGAGGGCACTGAGGGCCAAGCCTTTTTTGGTCTGTGTCGTACTGCCAGCTGATGGCTGGAAGCCAGGTCTTGCCATTCCCAGCATAGGCCTCTTGCCATGCTGCCTATGAAAACAATGATTCATGTGGAATCTTAAATCCCAGGCTTTTGGGGTTTCAGCCTGTGGAGGCTGGGGTTCCTCCTCTCTATGGCTTCCCAGAGAAGGGAGTAATGGTTGACCCTTGGCTACTGCCATTTGGCGGACTCTCTTCCTCAGTGCCCCCACTTGCTCCTTCTCTGGCAGTCTCAATCTCTGACGTGGAAACAGTGCGTGAGGGCCATGAGTCTGAGTTGTTGCGCAGCCTGGCCGAGGAGTTTCCGCTGGAGCAGGGCTTCACCGTCGTCTTCCATGGCCGCCGCTCCAACCTGGACCTGGTGGCCAACAGTGTTGAGGAGGCCCAGATCTGGATGCAGGGGCTCCAGCTGTTGGTGGACTTTGTCACGAGCATGGACCAACAGGAGCGGCTGGACCAGTATCGGCAGGCTGGAGTCAGCGTGGGGGTCGGGGGTCACTGAAGGAACAGATGCTGCAGGGCTAAGGACAGGTGGGAGGGGGAGCAGGGCTAGGAAGGCCCAAGAGTCCAGATGGGGTGGGCAGGGGCAGCTCAGGCCAATGTGAGGCTGAATATTGAGAGAGGAATGGAGGCTTGAGGTGGCAAAGATGTAACCAGGCAGAGTTTGGGCATGAATCAGGCCCCCTGGGAGTGGGGAAAGGACAGCGAGAGACAAAGGGCCAAACAAGGTGCTGATCCTGAGAGGTTAACAGAAGATTCCAGTGGCATGAACTACCACAGGGTAGGAAGCAACCCCTCCTCAGAGAGCTTACTGGTGTTGGCTCACTTCAAATTCCCTAGACTGTATTCACCTTCTATGCCAGTTCATTCGTTTGTTCATCCATTCATTCATTCGCTCACCATCTACTAAGCAGAATGTATCTGGCACTGTGCCAGGCTTTTCAGTACAAAGATTAATGAGACTCAGATATCATGTTTGTCAGTGGAGAGGATGGAATTGTCCAAAATAATTTAAGTATCATGGAAGTTTATGGTACTTAGATTATTTGAGGGTGTTCAAAGGAAGGGGAAATATTTAATTCTAGCTGAGAGAGTTCTGGGAAAGCTTTAGGGAGAAAGTAGCATTTGAGCTGAGGCTTGAAAATGAGTAGAATTTGAACATGAAGAGAGGAGGAGGGAAAGACACTCCTGCCCCAAGGAGCAACATGAGTAAAGGCCCAGAGATAGGAAATTGAAGAGCTAGAGAGAGTGGGACATCAGAGAGCAGGGAGTTAGGGGTCTGGTCAAAGTACCGGGAAGACAGAGATGTGTGAGGAAGGCTGGGTTGGGGCCAAATCATGGCAGCGCAGGAAATCTTAACTTCTACATTAAGGGATTTGGACTTCTTTCTGCAGGCAACAGGGAGGTCCCTGCAGGCACCTGAGCCATGCAAGAATAAGATAGGTTGGTGTTCTGGGGAGATTATTCTGGAAGCTAATGTGGGAAATTAACTGATGTGGTGGAGAGAAGGGGAGCAAAGGCGGGGGAGAGATGTCAATGGATGAACATGCACAAACATCTGCACACACAAACACACACACAGTGCTTTTGCCTTGACTCAGACCTGGATGGTTGAGTGACTGGTTCCAGCGTGGAGACAAAGACCAGGATGGTCGGATGAGTTTCCAAGAAGTCCAGCGGTTACTACACCTGATGAATGTGGAAATGGAACAAGAATATGCCTTTCAGCTTTTTCAGGTGAGGCTTCTGAGGAAGGATTGGCAGAAGCCATCCAAGGCCACATCCTCACTTGGCCAGAAGTACTCTGACCCTATCTGGCAGCATTCACTTATCAAATCTCTACTCTGTCCCCTAGCACTATGCCAGGCTCAATGGGACGTGTAGGCCACAGTTCTTACTCTTCAGTCTTGTTGGAAAGGTGATTTGTAATCTTATGAAAGGTAAATAACAATATGTTATTACATCAGACCTCAAGGACCCCTCCGTCCATGGCTAGAAGGTCACAGGTGCCTAGTACAATGGAAAACTCCAACTGGAATGTAAATGAATAGGAGGAGGGATTTTCTGAATTTTAGGGACCTTTGGGGCATTTAACTCTTTCTAGTTGAAAATTTTCTCTAGTAGCAAATGGTATGACTAAAATTTTGCTTTTTTATTTACTGAAGCAGCTTCTGTGAACACTATCAGGAGTTCAGTGGAACCATTTTGGATCCACCTGTCAGTAAGACTGTCCTTACAAGACAAGCCAACGCCATAAAATTTGCTGTTAAAGAGTTCATCTACTCACCTCTAAACCCTCTTACAGGCAGCAGACATGTCCCAATCTGACACTCTGGAGGGAGAAGAATTTATAGAGTTCTATAAGGCACTGACGAAGCGTGCTGAGGTGCAGGAACTGTTTGAAAACTTTTCGGCTGATGGGCAGAAGCTGACCCTGTTGGAATTTGTGGATTTCCTTCAAGAGGAGCAGAAAGAAGGAGACCGTGCTTCTGACCTTGCTCTGGAACTCATTGACAGCTATGAGCCTTCAGATAGTGGTAAGAGGACCAGAGCAGAGAGGCCCCAGACTTGGGAGCAGGGAGGGGGACCATGACCCGAAAGGTTCAGAGACCAGCAGCCTTCTGCCTAACTCAAGGAAGACTGAGTCCACCCCTATGCCAGTCCCCTTCATCTTCATCTCATTCAACCACACCTCTGGAAGGAGAGCGGCCATTTCCCACCCAGATAGGACAGGAGTCTCTTCTGTAATGCTAGGTCTCTCTAGAGGAAGAACATTCCATTAGTCCCCTTTCTTCCATCATGCACTTGTTTCACATCCTTCACCTGCTAAAAGCTCTTCCTGATATCGACCTTTGGCCTCAGTGGAAATGGAACATTCTTAGTCCTCTTGCTTTGGCCTCTTCTTCTCTAGTGCATATGATTCCTTTTCGTCTAGATCCCTTCATGGTTCCTGTTTGCTGTCTCTTTACATGCTGGCTCTCTGCCTCTCCCTGGACTATCTCCAAATTCACCAAATGGTTCTCGAAGTCTCTAAGCCTGTGAAGGCCCTAGGAAGCTAGTCAGCCCCTGGCTGAGGGGGATGATGATGAGGCCAAAAATGTAGCTTTTTAACAAGTACAGCTAAAATATGTCCTGTCTGCCCTTAAACCTTTCTCCTTGCCCCTTGAGTAGACATCTTCCTGTCCCCATTCCCTTTAGAATGTGAGGAATTTACGTTATTAATAATACATTATTTATAAGGCACTTTCACATTTCTTACTTCATTTAGTCCTCACTACAACCTTAAATCAAAATCAGTAATCTAAATTGGGCCTTTGCTAAGTATTCCATTATGCGCCAATATCTCTACATGTCTTTTCTCTTCTAATCCTTCGAATGACCCATTGAAGTAGGTTCTATTATTAAGTCAGTGTGCAAAAGAGGAAAACAGGTTTAGAAAAATTAAATGACTTGTTCAAAGCAACAGCTAATAAGAGGAGGAATTGGGATTCAAACCCAGGTCATCTGACTTACTTGTTGCCTCTCTTGAAAATGAGGATTAGAGATGAGATGAACGAGCGCTGAACAAGGTTTCCTAAGTCTCAACTCCCACTTCCTTTCTCTCACTCACTCACTTACTCACTCTTCACTCACTCACGACTTCAACTAATGCTTACTGAGTACCTCTAATGTGCCAGGATCTACGCTAGGCACCGGTGATACAGTAGCAGGTCAGACAAGGATAATGGCCTCATGGAACTTAGGGTCAAGCAGAAAATGCTGGGATCAGTGATCCTGTTATTATATGAACCCTGGGCTGAAATGGGTGAGAGCTATAGAAGTAGTGTCTGGGCCCTGCCCGCAAAGGGAGTATAATTCAAAGGGATGTTGGACAAACACTCCTCAAAACATGATATGGGAACTGACGATAGGAAGAAACCCTCAGGCCAGGGTTGGCAGCAGCTACACAGCCCAGGGAATAAAACAAAGGTACCTTGGTCATGTCACTAATAAGTCTTTAACTTTGATTCTTTCTGGGTCTCATCATCAGAGCTTGCCCATCTATAAAATTAGCCCTTTGGACTAAATACTGTGTTGTCCATTATGGTAACCATGAGCGCCATGTGATTGTTTAAATTTAAATGAACTAAAATCAAAATTTGAAATTCAGTTCCTTAATTCAGTTCCACAGTCACACAGCTTATGTGTCTAAAAGCTACCTACTGCACAGTGCAGAATACGACATTTTCATCATTGTAGAAAGTCCCACTGGACAGCACTGGACTAGAATGATCATAATGATTCCCCTTGTGGCTTTGGCATTCTCCAAGGGTGGGGAGGATTGAAATGACAGGCACTGTGGGAGGCAAGTTTGGGATCTGGAAGCTGGGAGTGGACACCACCTCACAGGCAGGACGCTGGAGAGAGATGGGGTGGAGGCCAGACTGTAGGTGTGCTGGGGAGCTCCCGCTCAGAATTCTCTCACTCTAGTGTCCCCCCCACTCCACACCCTAGGCAAGCTGCGGCATGTACTAAGCGTCGATGGCTTCCTTAGCTACCTCTGCTCGAAGGACGGAGATATCTTCAACCCAGCCTGCCTCCCCGTCTACCAGGATATGACTCAACCCCTCAACCACTACTACATCAACTCCTCTCACAACACCTACCTGGTCGGGGACCAGCTTTGTGGCCAGAGCAGTGTCGAAGGATATATAAGGTGCAGTGGGAGGAAGGGAGAAGGGGTCGAGCTCATGAAAAGGGACCATCTGTGGGACATTGAGGTGTGCTGACAGTAGATAAAAGGAATTGAGTAGATGTGTGGGGGTTTGGGGCTGCGGATCCCTGGATACCTGAGAGACTTGGAGGAGATATTGAAGACTGGTGGGAGAGTTGTATAGAAGCCCTATGGGTAAATGGAGCTTCTCTCTTTCTTAGGCTATGAAACTCTCTTGGAACTGAGAGGTCCTGACAGATTTATCTTGAATAAATAAATAAACTAAATGTTAAATAGAAGGCAGTATCACATAGGAGTCAAAAACATAGGTTCTGGAGTCAGATCATTTGAGGTCAGTCAAATCCTAGTTCCCTCACTTGGTACTCTGGGGCTAAGTATTTAACCTCTCTGTGCCTCAATTTCCCCCATCTGTGAAATAAGGATGATAACTGTCTATTCTATCTGGGTTGTCGTGAGTATTTTATGAGATAATCCATGTGTCAATAGCTAATAAATGGTACCTGCTTTTATTGTGATTAATCATGGATTAGATCGAATAGTCAAGATATCTTTGCAGTGCCAGCAACTGACCTAGTAGCTTCAAGGGTTACAAAGGTGAGTGGAACATATAGTTTCTGCCCTAGGAAGTCTAGTAGAGAAAATCAAGTATAAATTTACTGATAGTTTGAATAATTCATGTGTTGTATAATGAAATACAGCCAGAACACCAGAAGCATCATGAGACAGTATGTGATGGCTTTCTAAGGAAAGATTGCGAGTTGGGTTGGGGGGGCGGTGGAGATCAAGGTGAGCTGCAGCAGTGTCCCAGTGGACAGAGAAGGGTCCATGGAGATGTAGCTTGAAGGGGTCTTGACAGGTAAGTGCCTGTGAGCACTGTTTTCTCCAGTGTGGGGAGAGGGTTCCTAGGTGGAAGATCAGACCTTGACCCCTCCTGTCCCTGGGGGGGTTGGGGTTCTTGCAGGGCCCTGAAGCGAGGGTGCCGCTGCGTGGAGGTGGATATATGGGATGGACCTAATGGGGAACCTATTGTTTACCATGGACACACCCTGACTTCCCGTATCCTATTCAAAGAAGTTGTGGCCACTGTAGCACAGTACGCCTTCCAGGTAGGAGCCCCAGGATGGGAACACTGGTGAGGCAAGAGGCTCTGAGGGAAGAGTGGCTGGCTCTGGGTCTGGGGGGATAAGAGGAGGTTACATTAAACGGCATACAGGTAAACAATTTTAATCGTGAAGCATCAGGCAAATATTAAGGGATTATTATGAATAAGTGTGGGGTGTGTTACCAGTAATTAGTTATCATAGAGGTAATTGCTAGAGATTGGTAAGTATTACTTCTAACAACTTCTGTCACCTATCTGGGTGACAGACAGGGCGGATAAGGAAACAGAGAAAGTGATGGGTAGGGCTGGGAGAGGATAGGAATCGGGAGATGAAAGCCTGAGGGTGTAACACGCACGTAACCAGGGAGATGGCCTGGCCTTCCCACTCTAAGCCTGAAAAATCAAAGGTCCTAGAAAGAGGGACCTGGGTTAGACCTGGCACAGGTCTGAAAGTGACTTTTAGATGTGGGGTGGACTCCAGACCCAGCAAGACCTCCTTGAGGCCTGGAATGGGGTCGGAGGAGCTTAGCAATCAGGGTACTTCAGTGGAGTAACTAGGTGGGACTGGAGACACAAGGAGGTTATAGGCTTTACAACTCTGGCTCCAGCGTTCCCTTCCCTCCCCATCAGACATCAGACTATCCAGTCATCTTGTCCCTGGAGATCCACTGCAGCTGGGAGCAGCAGGAGACCATAGCACAACATCTGACCGAGATCCTGGGGGAGCAGCTGCTGAGCACCACCTTGGATGGGCTGCTGCCCACTCAGCTGCCCTCGCCTGAGGTAGGGACCTGCCCCCCCAGCCCAGGCTCTACTGTGGCTTCCATGTCCCCCCACCTTGATGCCTTCCTCCAAGTTGTTTCCTTCTCACTGTCAGGTAGACCATCTTGCTCTTTAATATCCTTGGAGACTTTAATAGACTTTTTAAAAAATATAATTGAACACAGAATTCTATTTATAGTTCTCTAAATTTTAAATCACTTATTTACTTTATATTTATTTTTTCAATGGAAATATCTTAATTTTTTCCTGATAGTTTGCAATTGTTATAGACTACACCAGCAATATAGAGAAAGGGAAATACCCCCACCATAATATCAACCTTCCCCAATAATTGATGTCAATAGATTTTTTTTTAAAGATTTTATTGGAGAATCGGGGAAGGGGAACAGACAGGTAGACAAATTGCTGTTTTGTTCTTCAGTCTAGTTGTGGAGGACGTCGCTTCAACTGGCCCATGTTGGTATGATCATTGCGCTCTTCCTGGGTGAGGCAATCAGTCACTGGTCGGCCACTCACAGCGGCTCATGGCAGCTCTCGCCTGCTGCCGGCCGCAAGCCACTCGTGGCAGCCCAGCTCCAGGTTGAGCTGTTGTTCATCATCCTAGCTGTAGAGGGCGCAGCGTCACTGGCCCTCAATGTGGGATCCGAACCGCAGCCCTGCTGCTCAGAGCTGGCGCTCCCAAGCAAGCTCTTAACCAGCTGAGCCACTTGGCCGGCCTGATGTCAGTAGATTTTTAAGTGCTTATATAAACATATGTGTATATATAGTCACATTTTTTAAACTGAATGGGATTAACCTCTATATCCCTTTAGAGCTCACATATAATATATATCATGGGTGTCTTTTCATGTAGAATTTCTTCCTTTTTAACAGTTCTATAGTATTTCATTTTATGTTATAGACCCTAATTATTATTTTTTTTTAAATCCAAGCTCTTTTTTTTTTTAATTTTATTGGGGAACAGTGTGTTTTTCCAGGACTCATCAGCTCCAAGTCGAGTGGTTGTTTCAATCTAGTTGTGGAGGGCACAGCTCAGTGGCCCATGTGGGGATCGAACTGGCAACCTTGGTGTTATGAGCCTGCGTTCTAACCAACTGAGCTAACTGGTCACCCCCTGCCAGTCATTTTTATGTCTTCTGACTTTTCATCCTGTGTTCTAAAGGCTTTCTCACCTTAAGATTCTTCAAAAAGATTCTCTATTTTATTCTGATATCCTTTATGTTTTCTATATTTACATGCAAATCTTTAATCTATGAGGAATTTTTATGCATCAAATGTGAGGTAGGGGTCCCCATTGATGTTTTTCAGTATGGATGTAGATGTCACTAGTCTGCCTAACAACATGGAATCCTGACTGTATGTATCAAGCAGCTTCCTGTGGGAACTTCTGGCCACTCACTTCCTCCACCTGTGAAGCAGTGGGACCTGCATGGTCCCCAGAAGGGTCCCAGAGCAGACAGGTGGACAGGCTCCTTCCTTTTTGTCTCCTAGGAGCTTCGGAGGAAGATCCTGGTGAAGGGGAAGAAGTTAAGGACGCTTGAAGAAGATCTGGAGGAAGAGGAGGAGGAAGAGCTGGAGTCTGAACTAGAGAGGGAGCAGGAGGCTGGGCTGGAGCTGGAGGCCCAGTCTGAGGCTGAGACCCAGGAGCTGAGCCCTCGCAGTAAGGACAAAAAGGAGAAGGTAGGCCAGGAGAGTGGTCTTCCTGCTCTGGTGTCTGGTCAGAGAGCCATCGTGTGGAGAGACTAGGGGCCAGACAGGGTAGAGGGCCAAGGGGCAAAACAACCCCTGCCCCAGTGAAAGAGGCATAAGAATGCACACTTGGCACCACTATATATTGCCATATATAGATATATTGCAGTGGCTTTCCAACTTCTTTGGGCCATGGAATCTTTTTTTTTAATGAAATCTTATCTGGAAGCTCAGTATACAAAACAGACAAATGCAGAGCCATCCTAGTTGGAGCACCCATTTGGCTCTCTCCTGGGTCCGCTGGGTGACTCCTGAGACATCTTTGTACTACTACTCAGTCTCCTTAAAGGCCAGTTGAAAACCACTGATGGGTGCGTGTGTGCAGCATTATTATATTGGGTAAGTAGGGCTGACTGGAGTGACTGCCCTGACCTCGACTAAAGGGGGCTTAGTTAGAGAAAGCTTCTTGGAAAAGGTGAGTTTGAGGAGGGGCCAGAAATAGCCAGAGGAGGAGCAGGAAGGGGTGGGGAAGGTGAAGTCTCTGAGAAGGTTGTCCCTGAGTAGTCAGCTCCCTGTGGGGAAGGGGAGCCATGTGTGGGGCCACCACGATTCTCGTTTGAAGTCTGCATTTCTCTCTCTTGCGCATGTGCTTGGCTCAGCTGGCTGATGTCTAGCTTATCCTGCTCTCTGGGGCTGTGCTGTATAATCTGCTGCCATGTCCACGGATGGAAATGGGAATTCAGGAGACAAATCTAAAGATATTACTCTGGGATCCTCATATCCTTGCAGCTGTGACTTCCATGACCATTTGTATAACTTGACATATCTGTGGGTTCACGTACATGTTGACTAAAAATTGTTAATTTGGTTTAAAAGACGAGAGACAGGAAGAATGAAACTTGTTTAAAAATGATAAATTAAAAACCTGTTACCCAGAAAGTAACATAGAGCAGACCCTTCAAGCCCACAGGCGGAAGCTGATCCCACCAGTGAACACAGACTGCCTTCATTCCCATTCCCACCCCCAGGTTGTGATGTGCTCGCTGTTTTGTCTGCCTATCTGTTGTCACACTATGGTCCAGGCTCCTCTTCCCAAGCCTGGGTCCCCTCTCCTTCCCAAGCAGGTGAGGTAGAGGGGAGAATGCAGTGGGGAGGAAGTGGGCAGAGGCCTAGGTCTGGTGGGGAAGTTCTGATCTTGGCCATTGGCTTTCTTCCTTCTCAGATTGCTGATGGTGCAATTCCATCGTCTTCTCTACTTTTTCCTTTTCCAGAAATCCACGCCCATCATGTGTCCATCCCTATCGACCCTGGTTGTCTACATGAAGACTGTCTCATTCCATAGCTTCACTCATTCAAGGGAGCACTACCGCTTCTATGAATTATCATCTTTCTCTGAAACCAAGGCCAGGCGCCTCATCAAGGAGGCTGGTCAGGACCGAACGGGAGGGGCAGGGAGGGAATTGGGATGAGTAAGGTCAGGCCTGATGGGCAAGCAGACGAGTCGCAAGAAAGAAGATGAGGGAGCTAAGGAGGGATCAGGGAGCTAAGAAACTCCTGAGGAGGCATGGGGACAGGAATTATATTGGGCTCAAATCTCGAGAGAAGAAAGCTAGAAAGCTAGAAAGCAAGTAGGGGAGGTGGTCTGGATGGAAATGAGTAGAGGCACAGTGAAGTTTCCTGGAGCCAGCCTCGGGAGATGCTGGGAGAAGAGTGAAGTCAGTGGGCAGGGTCCCTGGGACCCGGGAAGGGGAAGCACCCACCCCACACCCATCTCTCTACCTACACCCTTTTTACAGGCAATGAGTTTGTGCAGCACACCGCCTGGCAGTTAAGCCGTGTGTATCCCAGTGGTCTGAGGACAGATTCATCCAACTACAATCCCCAGGAACTCTGGAATGCAGGCTGCCAGATGGGTGAGGAGGTAGTAGGGACAGGGAAGAGGAAGTGGAAAAGCAGCAGGTGGGAAGTAAGTGCCCGGGTGGCAGTAGAGCCAGGGAATACTCCAATAAGAGTGCTAGGCTAAGTTATCTATGGAGGTGTTCCCAGCGGGCCCTTTTATGCCCAACATGTCTTTTTTAACTCCCTGAAAGAGGAGCTAGATGGCCCCCCAAGGTGAATCCTTCCCCTCTCTTCTTCTGGGGCCCTCAGTGGCTATGAATGTGCAGACTGCGGGGCTTGAGATGGACATCTGTGATGGGCTCTTCCGCCAGAACGGTGGCTGTGGCTATGTGCTGAAGCCAGACTTCCTACGTGATACCCAGAGTTCCTTCCATCCCGAGAGGCCCATCAGCCCTTTCAAAGCCCGGACCCTCCTAGTCCAGGTATAATGGAAAGCAAAACCATTGGAAGAAACTTGGCCTAGTTGGGCTAGAAGCAGGGGGAAGAGGCCTGACAGGAGTGTAACGGGTGAAAAGTCCCTTGAGAGGCAGGATAGCCTGATGGTTAGCAGCATGGACTCTGGAGCCAGTTGCCTAGGTTCAAACCCATTTACTCGCTGGGTAACGACAGGCAAGTTCCATAACCTTAGTCTCCTCACCTGCATCACGGGGGTAATACCACCACCTACCTCACAGGGTGGTTGTGGTTAAAATGAAGTGCTTACAACAATGCCTGGTGCGTAGTAAGTGCTATTAAAGGGGCTGCTGTCATTATTAACCTTTCAAACCTTGTTAAACTTCCACTTAGATGCATTTTAAATTGCACATAGATTACTAGAAGGAAATATATTACCCATGGAGGACTGGCTTTGCAAACCCAAAGCTGGAGCACGAGGTCCTGTGTCTCCTGCTTCCCTCACCTTTCCCCTCTCCCCTGGGGTGTGAGCTGGAGTGGGAATGGGCTGAGCAGGAACCACTGAGGTGTTCTAGAGCCCTGGTTGCAGGTGATCAGCGGTCAGCAACTCCCCAAAGTGGACAAGGCCAAAGAGGGGTCCATTGTGGATCCGCTGGTGAGAGTGGAGGTCTTTGGCATCCGCCCAGACACAACTCGGCAAGAGACCAGCTATGTGGAGAACAATGGTGAGAGATGGGCAGTGCTGGAGGGAGGTGGGCGGAGCATGACTCACTTTCCTACCATCCTGCCCGCCATTAAATAGAGCCCATGTCAGCACCCTTTCTCCCCCTACCTCCATGGGAGGCAGTGAGGAACAGGACAAAGAATCAGGACTTGGACGTCTTGCATCTGAATCCTGGACCATCATTTATAAACTCAAGTGACTTGGGCAAATTGCTTACCCACTGAGCCTCAATTTCCTTACCTGTAAAATACTGATTGCTATGAAGATTAAATGAGAACACAGGGAAAGCAACCCAGCATGGGCCTAACGAAATCCTCAACAATATCTATTCTTTCTTTCCCTCCCTCATTCACACCTTCCCTCTCACCTCAGGTTTTAATCCTTACTGGGGGCAGACACTATGCTTCCGGGTCCTGGTGCCAGAACTGGCCCTGCTGCGTTTTGTGGTAAAGGATTACAACTGGAGATCCCGAAATGACTTTGTGGGTCAGTACACCCTGCCTTGGACCTGCATGCAACAAGGTGAGCTCCTCCTTTGACCCCTGGTCAAACCCCCAGCTCTGGCTGCCTGCCTAATGCAGTCCTCCTGCACCTTTCCAGGTTACCGCCACATACACCTGCTCTCCAAGGATGGCACCAGCCTCCATCCAGCTTCCATCTTCGTGCACATCTGCATCCGGGAAGGGCTGGAGGGGGGTGAATCCTAAGGTGGACACTTCATGGGAAGGGTGGGTGCACTGGTTTTAGATGGTAAGAAAGACCTGGAAAAATGCTCCAGAAAGCAGAGGTGACATAAACCACGCTTTGGGTTGTGCATTCCTAGGCACAAAATTACATCCCTCTTCCTAACAAACAAATCTAGGACCGGATTTTTCACCTTCTTTCTCTTCCCTTTCACAAGCCTTTTGGTATATTTCCTGCCCTTCCCCTCTGCACAATCTATACTGGAATTCCTTCCTTCCTCTTGCTGTGGGCGTAATCCCATACCTAGACCTGGGACTAATCTCTCCCATCAACTCTGGCTCAAAGGCGGACTGCGACTAGAAATCCAGAAAGGGGTGTGGGGCAGAGAAACCCTAAGAGGCATTATCCCCCATCCCTGACTTCCTCAAAGCCCAGAGCCAAGGAAGGAATAAACCAAGCCACAAGGCTCCCAGGCAAAGGCTGGAGAAGGCGACCTGACCCCAGGACTGTACTATGACTCTCAAGAGAACGCGGCTCAGTCCTCGAGAGTCCCCAGGGGGCTGCTCCTCCTGAGCCCCGCCAGGAGAAATACAGCTGCGCTCTCCAATTTGGCTTGAGTACATGTGGTCTGTCATTTGGGGCAAGAAGGGGAGATACGAGGGTTGGGGGACATTTGGGTAGAGAGGTGGGGCAGGGAAAAGGTGGAAAAGCAAGTTTCCAGGGGTCCCCTGCATGTACTAGATAGAAAGGGTACAGAAGTATGGCTTCTAAGAGGCCGGCAAAAGGAGCAGACAAGGGTGTATGTGATCCCAGCCCTACTGAAGAATTTGCCTGGAACAGTCCTGGTTTATGTCTGCTGTCCCAGCATAATTATTAATGGTACCCTCTTTAATTTTCCCGATGTGTCCCAGTTTAGATGATTAATTATACAGTCACCGTGAGGCACTCACAGAATTCTACATTAAAAAATTGGCCCAAATCATTTGCCTTTCACACTCTCTTTGTGCTTTAACTCTAGTGCAGCTGCTGACTCAGTCTGAGGACTGATGCTGAATTAAAGCTGCTTCCTGGGAGGCTTAGTGGGTGGCAGTCCTTCCTGCACAGGTAGACAGAGTGGCTCGGAAATAGGGAACAAGGCAAGGGCCAAGACAGGCTCAAGGACAGAGAGAAGGTATATCTGGGCCTGTCTGAGAATTCTTCACTCAGTGAAGATGGAAGGAGACAAAGAGGAGGCAGAGGTCTACGAGGGGACAGGGCAGATCAATAAGACAGCCCGAAATGTTAAGACAGGGACTGGGATGAGACTATAAGCTAGCAACCATTCTGTTTATCATGCTTTATAGAGCATTAGGCACAACAGCACATGCGGTTAGATACAACTGTCTTGGGGATGCTGAATGAAATTAGGACTTGACATAGTAAGAAGGAAAGAGGAGATGGAATGGGTAAAACCAGGATCTTACAGCCAGCGAGTCTGGTGGAGCGATGAAGAGACTAGGACCTCACAGGTTAAAAACACAGTGGCCTCAACATGAAATCCATTTGTGGTCCATGTCTGTCTTTTATATAGCCATCAATTTCAAAGTATTAGAGCCAGAGTCCCAGGAGGGTTCCAGCCACACTGACACCCCAAAGCTAGCCCTTCCTTATGCTCTGGGCTTCTCAGGCTCGCTCTGGTTTCAGTCTGCACGTCTTACAGCACACCCTCTTTGTGTCTGGGAAGTGGGGTGGGCTTTCAGCCCTCAGGTCCAGTTGGAGGAGCAGAAGGAGCAGGAGGGCTGGGGTCCTCCAACTGCACATCATGCAGGTGCACTGTGGGGGTGGTGGGGTCTTTGCCCACGCCTTGGTTTGGGTCGGCCTGGTCGGGGTGGTGCCTGCGCACATGCTTGACCACCTGGAATTTCTGCTTGGCCTTGTAGCTGCAGAGGCGGCAGAAGAAGGGGTGGCGGTCAGTGTGGGTGAGGGCATGATGGCGCAGGCCAGCAGCCCAGCGGAAAGCACGGTGGCACACGTTGCACACGTAGGGCTTGGCCTCGCTGTGCTTGCGGAGGTGGGTGCGCAGCAGGAAACGTGTCTTGAAGGCCTTGCCGCACTGCTCACACATGAAGGCCCGTGCTTCCCTGTGCCGTGTCTCCTGGTGCACGCGCAGTGCATCAGCACGGTTGGTGCGGTACTCACACTCAGGACACTGGTATGGCTTCAGTCCTGCAGGACATGGCAAGGACAGAGACCAAATCACCATTGAAGAGGGTGGAACAAGGGTCTGTGGACCCTAAGAGTCACTGATTGTGGGACATAAAGAGCACAAGCAACAAGCTGACTAGTCATCAGATTTTTGGAATCTTCCAGTCTTTTGTGACATTTCTGTGCCCTTCTCCTAACCCAGCCCCTTGTATACAATAGGTGCTCAATGAATGCTGATAACTAACTGGACTTCTAAATAGCAACCTGCTAGCAATGGGTACTCAAAGATGATAGGGTTTCCAAATGGGAAATCCCAACCTCCTTTTGGTCACGAGGTACTCATGGAACTTGATGGAGGTGAAACAAGTGGCATTCATAGAGGCAGATGGCCTTGAAATGCATCTGGTCAATTCCTTTACATGAGGAGATCATATGCAATAATCACAGGCACATGCTCGTGATTGTTAGCACATCTGAGAATCTGTAGTTTGTGGACTCCATACCCAGGAGAAAAAAAGGATAAGTTAACACAGGTGAACCCTCCCATTGTCTCCTCTTTACTCATGACAGTTCCATCATGTCTGTAGGAAACAGGTAGATCCGCCCTCAGTCACTCATGTTTGATTTGGGGGGTTCTCAGTGGATGTGGGTGACCTGGTGCCACAACCACCTTGGAAGCGTTTGCAAAGCACATACACCCAGGCTCTCAGGTTCACCTGTCTTCTGATTCTGATCCATCTTCAGTGGGTTGGGAAGCTATTTTGGCCATTCGGCCTACTCACTACCCACAATGTGAAAATGACGTGCACCCCGAATCTAAGTAAGGACCTCAGGGAGGTTGGGAGTACCAGGGAATGGGGGAACCCTTTGGACCTGTCAAAATCACGCAGACTCACCTGTGTGCTTCGTCATGTGGTACTTGAGCTGGTTGACCCACTTGCACTTGTAGCCGCAGTCAGGGCACAGATACTTCCTCTCCTCCTTGTGGATCCGCATATGGTACTGGAGAAGGGAAGAGGAAAGAAATACTGAGAAAATGTGCACTTCTGGGTACTCAATGGGCATGGAAACAGGCAGAGAATCTGCTGGCAGATAACCGTATTCCCTGCTCCCATTCTATCCATAGTCCCGTTACCAATCAGGTTCCCCAGTCTGGCCACTTTGACACCAACCTAACCTGCTGGGCCTACCCTTAGGTCTTCCCTGACTATCTCAGCTCTGACACTTATTACCTGTGTCTTTGGGCGACCTAACCCCTAATTCTCATCTTATTAATCTGCAAAAATGGGACATAGTAAAAGTAACTGTATCTCACATTTCTGAAAGGATTAAAATTACAGTGCCCTATATACAGTAAATGCTCAATAAATGTAGGCTGTTATAAGTATCTAGATTACCCCCAGCCTATGACATGCCTAGCATGTATTATGGAACTTTATTTTTGCAACAACCCTATGAAGGGTTATCTGTCCCCTTTTTACAGATGAGGAATATGAGGCTTGGAGAAGTTAAGCAATTTGACGAAGGTCACAGAGCTGATATTTGGGAACCCAGGTGGTTTAACTCCACAGCCTGTACGCCTTCCATTCCTGGCCCCTCTGGTCCCTGACCTTACCTTGAGGCGAGAGGGGTCAGCACAGGCATAAGGACAAAGGTGACAGTGGTAGGGCTTTTCCCCAGTGTGGATGCGGCTGTGCCAGGTGATCTTCTGCCGGTTCTTGGTGCTGTAAGCACAGTCTGTACACTTGTAGAGGCGGGTGCCCCCATGCCCTTTCACATGGTGATCTAGCACCAGCTGATGGCGGCACGCAAAGTCACAAAAGGGGCAGCGCAGAGGGGGCTGGCCAGCATCCCCATCCCCGTCTGAGGCTGCCGCCACTGCTGAAGTCTCCTCGTGCTGTTCCAAGTAGTGCTTCACCAGGCCCACCCGCTCCCGGGCAGCAAAGTCACAGAGCTGGCAGCGGTGGCTGAAATGCTGCTGCCTCCGGTGCTCATCCAGTGCTGGCCGGCTAGGGAAGATCTGCTGGCAGGCCCCACACTCGAGCCGTGGGTTCTGTTTACAGGTGTGTCCTCGCAGGCTGGCAGGGCTGGGGCACAGCAGCCCACAGCGGGAGCAGTGCAGGGGGCCCTCAGTGGCCTCCGTAGGAGAGCCAGGGGCTGGGGCTGTTGGCTCAGGATGCCGGCGCAGAGCATGCTGCTTGAGTGCTGTCTCGGAGCTGAACTGGGCCTCACACTGGGGACAGGCAAAGGCTGGGGTGCCCTGGTGGCAGCTGTTGACATGGCGAGTGATATCGTGGCGAAGGTAGCCACTATAGTCACAGAGTGGACAGAAGTGGGTGGGTGTTTTGTCATGAACCCTCAGCCGGTGCAAGCGCAGTTTTGAGTTGGTACCAAATGTCTGGGGACAGGAGCTGCATGGGATGCGGCCAACTCCTGTGTGTCGGGACTGGTGAGCCTCCAACCGGTACCGTCTGGTGGTGGAAAAGTCACAGAAAGGGCACTGATGTGGCTTTACTCCCTCGTGCTTGAGCCGCCGGTGCTGCTGTAGGCACCTGGTCTGTTTACAGATGAAGCCACAGTCCCCACACTGAAGAGGGGGCCGGGGCCCGCGGGCTGGGGCCACAGTGGGGTGCCGCCGCTTCTGGTGCAGCTTCAGGGCAGCCGCAGTGGGAGCAATAAATGAACAAAGGCCACAGTGCAACTCTCCAGACTGCTCGAGGGGACAGCCCCGAGTCTGGTGAGTCCTCAGAGCCCGCTCCTGCTGGCAGCTAAAAGGGCACGTGGGGCAGGAGAAGCGAGCCCCCTTCTGCTTTGGAACCAGAGCTGAGTCCCCATCACCAGGGCTGCACTCTGTACTCCCACTGTTTAGGGGAGCAGAGTCCCCATTGCTCAGTGGGGACACAACAGGCTGGGTCTGCAAGGCCCCTCGCTTTCCTCCTCCACTACGTACCCCCCGGCAGCCTTCGGCCACGTGAGAGGTAATAGAGGAGAGCCGAGAACAAAGGAACATGCATGAGTTGCAGTGAAACTTGCCCTGCTCAAAGTGGAACTTCTCAGGGGGTGAGGAGTTTCCCAGAGGAGGTACTGCAGGGACGGAGAGGGGGGCCAGAGGCTCCTCTATTTCTTCTGGTTCCCTAGGAAGCTCAGGAGCATTTTTGGGGCGCACTAACTCTACCAATGGTGCAGGTGGGGGCTTCCCACCTTCTGCAGCCTCTGAGGCCTGGGTGCCCGGGGACAGAGGACGCAGAGGGATGAGTGACTCTGGTCTGAGCAAGCCCTTGTTTTTTCTGAGAACAGGGCACTTCTTCAGCAGGTGGGTGCTAAGGCCACGCTGTTGCTTGAAACTAGCCCCACACTCAGGACACAGCAGGGGTTCTCGGCAGCCTTGACACCCAGTCCTGGAGTGCAGACTCAGGGCCTTCTCTCGGCGGGTAACAAAAGGGCAGTGAGGGCAGCGGAAGGCCCGCCCCTCTCCTTGTATTACTACCATCTGAACCCGCCCCTCCAGCACCAGTGCCTCAGCCTGTTCTTTATCCTGTTTCCTTAGTGCCTTCAGTAATGACTCTGACTCAGGGAACTGGGGCAGGGGTGCTGTCTCCGTGGGTGGAGTTACCTTGAAGGTTCCCACCCAGCTGTTAGGGCATTCCTCTGAGGAAGGGGGGCTGCTGGGGGGCTCAGGGACTGTTTTGTCTAGAACTGGCTCTTCTTCAGCACCCAAGCCGGAAGTCTCAGCACCTTCAAAGGTGGACAGCTCTGTCAAAGTTCCATCTGGCACCTCCAGTCTCAGGGGCCCTGAGG